AGGAGGTATGCTAACTCTCGCGCTATCTGGTTATTCTTGCCTTTGAAAGATTCTAACTTGAGCTTCGGAGCCCTTACGCCGGGTTCTCCCCGGAGCTTCTCCTCCCATTTCAGATCCCTGTTACTCACTTCAGAGGCAAGATCGTCAACAACTAAGACCGGCCAGATTGTGCATCATCAGTTCTCAAACTTGAAACTTGTTGAAGTTATCACCAAATTGACTAACCACAATCAAATATTTCTCAGCCAAGAAAGAGGCTACAAAACCCAWCAAATGACCAACCTAGTAGGATGAACTTCAAARTCAAAGTGCTGGTTGTACAGGCTCTTGTTCCATCTCTGAACTCTTCAATGCTCCCCCACCAACCCATCACAAGAACAGCTGGAATGACTCTGGTGGAAATCTTGAGGTGGTCCACAAACCTCAAATGTTACATGACATTATGTGGATTTGGGCGGAGTGGTTTCTAAAGGGTAACCTGGCCTACTTTGAGGTGTCACTGTGWCAGCCCTTCATGACTCCATCAAAGTCATCATTTATAGAAAATTATTTTAGCATTTGAAATTGACCTTTGCTTTTTTTTTGTCTTCTAATATTCTGATTTGCAAAGAGTTCATTTATGCAGTCAGTGACTACTAAGATTGCTCTCTRATGCCATTTTAGTAGGATGCAAATGTTTAATAGTGTCAAATGTCTACATCTATGTACTAGTGCTTCCAACCCACAATCAAACTGGCCCATCACCCGACCAGAATTCCAAGTTGTTTCACCAATGCTTGCCTGCAAAAAACTGTTGGCTTGGTCAACAACCCAGTGACCCAGATGGTTGAGCAGCTGAACCATTTGACCGGTCAATGAATCACGGCTTAGATATTAATTCTTTTTTTTCTGTTTTTGTATTTTTATCCATTTCTATAATTAATAATACTTATTTATCACATTTATTTTTTGTGTAACATGATGAATATATAATATTAGGCATATGCCCAGTTTTCTCTCTCTATATATATATATAGCAAGAAGTTATGAAATAAATCAGCTCTAGTAAGCTGACTCGGGGCCGCCAGCCCAGATTTTGGCACTCAAAAAAAAAACATTCTTTCTCTTCTCCTCTCTTCCCTTTCTCTTCTCTTCTTCTTCCCTTCATTGTATGACCAGATCTTGAAAACAAAGGCTTTTCCAATTATTTATCAAGAAAGAAAAACAACTTGCTTTATAAATAATGCCCTTATCTATATAAATGGAAAGGAACCCCTTTAAATGGTCAAGTCTCTCAGAGTTTCCTCTGCACTTTTTGTTTAAAAACACTAAGAAGACAGAAAAAGAAAATTTACAAACGATTCTATAGATATTACCATAACATCATATATTCTTAATTCATAAAATATAATACCTAGATACTCAAAAATAAAAAGATCACAATTACAAGTAATAAAAAGATTACAAACCAAGTGCAGAATATGAAAACCAATATGGTGTTGGTTTATCGTATGAAAACCAATATGGTGTTGGTTTATCGTATGAAAACCAATATGATAATCTACATATGAAAATTTTTATTTTATTGAGGTTTCCTATAAAAATTAAGCAATTTTCATGAATCATGATGTCTGCATATGAAAATCAATCATGATGGTGTTGCTTTATCATATTGAGTTTTCCAATAAAAATTAATCAAAAAATTAAGCAATTTTCATGAATCATGATAATCTGCATACGGAAATCAATATGGTGTTGGTTTATCATATGAAAACCAATATGATAATTTGCATATGAAAAATTTTATCATATTGAGATTTCTAATAAAAATTACGCAAAAAATTCAAAGCTCACTGTCGGTCGCCGCTGCTTCTTGTTGTTGCTGATTACAAGAGGAAGGAAACCTGCCGTTGCAAAATCGTCGACTGCCATTGCTCCTTGTTGCTCCTTATTGCTGCTGATTACAAGAGGAAGGAAATCTGCTGCTGCTCTTTGTTGCTCACTGTCGTAGATGGAGCTCTTTTGAGGAAGGAAATCCGTCGTAGTCGTCAGTCATCGTGATTCACCATCGGTCATGGCTGCCGCAAGTCATCGGTCGTGCCGTCAGAGTATGAGGTTTGAGCGGAAGGAAGGCTGGAACTTGGAAGGGTTAGAAGGAAAATGAACTTTCATTCTAACCCTAACTCGTATGGCTGGAATCGAGGGACATGAATGGCATTTTTTTGTTTTGTTTTTTTTTTTTAATCGAACGAAAATGAATTACGCTACCCACAAATTGTTGCCTGGTCAAATGGTTTAGTGGTTCGACCGCTCGTATCAATGATTTTTTGACCTTTTCAATGGTTATTTAATAAATAACGGTTTACAATATAACCAGACCCAAGGGTTGAACGGTTACCAATTTTCCAATCCGACCATATGGTCCGGTCCAATTTTAGAAACCATGCTTGAACTGAAGATGAATGAAGGGCATTTTTTCAAACAAAGAGAGAGGGAATTTGTTTATTCATGAAAACCGCGGGGTGTGGGGGATTTGTAGTCGTGTAGTTCAATTTGAGCTCATGAGAGCATCCCAGCTCATTTTAAAACCATAGGTTTAATTTTTTTAGTTTTTTGATGCCTTAACAAGGCAAATTCATTCAACTATACAATTATGAGTGATGATATTTATTGCAAATCAGGAAACTGAGACAAGTAATAGTACGACAGAAAATTTGGGTAATGTGTGAGCTGCCCTGTTCCCGTCTGTGTAAGTATGAATTACTGAAATGAGCAAACTAGACTCACATCTTTTAAACCCATTTAATATGACTTCTAATGATAAGGAGAATCTACCGGGTAACAAAAGGGTGGGTACTGGGTAGGGAAGTCGCATCTCCCCCTCACAAATGTATCCTTAAAACGTTT